AACCTGGCCAACTCCAGTGTTTGACAGCTGCCAGGCGTCGTTCCCAGGTCAGCCACCGCGGAGTCCGCGAGGATCTCCACGGAACCTTGGTTCAAAGCCTCTGGATGTCCCGCGCCCGCCACGAACAAGGCCCAGGGGAGGCATAGGAAGGCCACCTGGGAGGGGCGGATTTGGCCAGTTGATGCGGATACCGTGCGGTCCAAGGCGGTCCAAGTTGGACGCGTTGGTTTTCCGATCATGCGTGAAGTAGAGTTCCAGGTGTTGAACATCACATGCTCATGTCATAGACTTGCCAGCTTGTAAAGACTTGCATGTGGGTTGGTGTCTTGAAAACATGCATGGCTTGTCTGCGACACTCTGTAATATACTCTCAAGTGGGCAAGTATCTTTGATTGGCTTGTGGCAAGTGACTGGCACGGCTACACGTAGGAGAAGAGGATCATAAGCTAGCTGTGGCATGCTGTGGCAATGAATTCAGCTTGCCGAAAAGTGGAAGTGTGACCTTAACTATAGGAATACTAATTCCAACCACTTCAATGGAATACAATAGGTTCCTAGTTAAGGTGGAGTTGGTACTAAATCAATGGATGGGTGCCATACTTCAATGGGTGCCATACTCATCTTCTGCTTCAATGGATTTGGCACCCACTCCTCCAATCCAAACCATCCAAACCTGCCCAGCCACCGAGAGGGTGCTCACCGCATTGATGGCTTTGGGGTCAGTGACCCGAGCAAAGGTTTCCAAGCGCAGGATGAACATCGCCTTGCTGTGGCTGGTGGGTGGGGTTTGGGGCTGGTTTGGACCATGCGATGGACCATGCGTTTCCATCGGGTGTAGGTGCCAAAGCCATCAAGATGCCATGATAATCACCTGCCTCTGCTTACAAACCCGGCACTGGGAATCGAGAGAATTTGAGATCATGATGAGATCATGATGTTTGACTCGGTGACTTTTTTCTAAAGGGCATCCGGATGCCTTCCTCTGACTCCAACTGGGCGTCCTTTTGGTTCAGACTTCCGGTCAGACCGTCTGACCGGAACGAGTAGCGGTCCTGTACTGAACAAGCCAGACCTGTATACACATCAAAAAACAAAAGGTTTGACAGAAGCAATAGGACGCAATTCTTGGGGCACACCTGAGATATCTTTACGAATCTTTATGACTGAATATGATCCTGCAGACATCTGCACTTCAAAAAGAGCCGCTAGGCCCGGCTAGACGGTGAACATGACTTCATTCACAGCAACAGCTTCGAGAAACCGGGATCGTTCACCAATGTTCGACTGCCGAACCTCAGGTGCAGCCTCTCCTCATCTTGGACCAAGTTTTGCATTTGTTGCATTTGGTTGCCAAGTTCTTCCCTTCAACCCGCTTCGCGGCGCCTGCGTAAAGTGCCCGGAAAAAAAACCCTCCCAACTGGCCACAACCGCTCCGCTGGAGGCACTGATGCGGCAGCGGCCATCAAACTGAGCAAGTCTCCCAGATTCGGCGGCACGCCCGCCTCAGCGGCGATCGCTTTACGGTGAACCTATGAACACACCACGTTTTCACGGTGGCTGGTGGCAAGCCTCATGATGAGTGGGGAGCCGGTAAACCAAGCTTTTTGTTCCTCAAGGTCATGTGAAGGGTGTCAAAGGTTCGAGGATCATATCCGAGCAGTTGTGTTGGCGTTACCTCCGAAAAGGCGAGAAAGAACAGGTCACAATACGGGGTGCTATCCATGGAGGTAGTCGGGGTGCCCAGCTACTCCACCTCACGTAAGGGGACTCAACACCACCCCGACATGTGACTCCTGGTTGATGTTCTTTCTCGTTGTTTGATTCTTTCTCCCTTGATGTTCCTTCTCCTCCCAAAAGCTTCAGAATTCCCCCTCCCCCATGTCTACTCTGCCTGATCATCCAGTGCCACCAGCGTTGTGCCTGATGCATCCGGCCGCGAAGACCCCGAACAGAGTGGCTGTTCCACCAACAGAGGCAGCCGACGTGACCGGACCCGGAAACCCCGAACACCTGGGGTACCCAACTAGGATAGTCAGTCCAGTTCAGGGTTCCACCCCTGCAGGCAGTGCAGGGGGGCTTGGCGAAGGCAGGACTGACCCCATATCCAGTGCATCTGTGGGCACAGACCCTGGCACCCCAAAACCTCAAGCACCTTCCGGAGTGAAGTGGAGGTAGTTGGAGCATAGGTCTCTAAGTACCTTCTAAGAAGGTTACACTGGGGATGTTTGGGGTGAATCCCATCTCCGGGTCCAGTCATACCTTCGTTTTTCGGAGGTACTTCAGAGGTGTAGGGACTGGGACTTTGGCCAAATGGAATTCGCAACCAGGTTGGGACAAGATCCGATCAGAAGCCAATTCCAGTACCTGAGGCTTGGTGACTGGGTGACCGTGGGCCCAGTCCCTCCTTTTGCTAGCAAGAGGGGGTTTGAGACTTTGGAGCCGTTTGGTCCAGTCCTTCTTCAGCTGGAAACTGAACCCTGGAGACTCCGACCGAACTCCATGTGCACTCCCAGGCGACATGTTACCGACCCCCCAAAAGCCGCATCCAACAGCCTTCGAGGAAAGCAATTAGCATTCGTGCCAGGATGTGCCAGGTTGGTGGAGGATGGTGGAGGGTGGTGAAAACATGTAAAAACTCTCAACTAAGGCAAGAATAGGCTGTTTCGCTTCTGCAGGCACTTCTGGGGCTGTCTTGTGCAAACTCACTGGGCCACTGGATGGATTCATAATCCCATAGGGTCCAGGTACCTCCTTTTCGGATGGTCTTGGAGGACCCTTAGGGAATGAGAAAGACAGGTGATTGGAGAGGAGCCATGGGGAGCACCCTCCCAGCAAACATAGGTAGACCTTCCCCACGATCGATCCTCTTCATCCACCTGTCAGTGGCTTTTTTTCGTGATCTTGAGCAAAGGGCCTGCCTACAAGCTCACGAGCAAGCCTCTCTTCATTACCCTCCCTCCAACAAACGTGAAAGTGGAAAACCAACCTGTTTGGCAATCGAACATCTTCATCCAAGGGATTCCATGATCCGTTGGAAGGAAAAAATGCGCTCGAACTTTGCAACTAAGTGGATCGCATCACCGGCGTCATACCACACCATGATTGAGTCTGACAACGACAGTGCCGCATCAGGGATCTTCAGTGGCTCCCGAAAACAGGCCACGATCAGCCCACACACAATCCACACAAGTTTGCGGAAGTTCAACTGGAGCGACCTATTGAATCCTCAGGTATGCGTCCTGCCACCCATAATGTGATTAAAGAATTGGCTAGAATTTGAGCACCCCGAAATCAAGAGAACGCGGCCTAAGAAGGCGGCCAAAGCTGACAACCATGCACTCAAAGGCACCTGAAAGGTCCGCGGATGAATGGATGAAATCCCCAGATGGGAGTAGGCCCGGCCTGAAGAGGATTGATCCCAGTAATGGATTCGTTCAACAAACAACGCAAAACTGCAGCCCTGCTCCTGAACTGAATCATGGAAACACGTACCTTCCCAAGATCATGTTCCTCTAGGAAGGAATCATTCTCCGTGTCCTCTGCGAATGACTAGAAGGTAAGCCGCCAGAAAACAAGCAGCAACGAAGGGGGTGGGCTTTGTGTGGCTAATGCATCCAGAAAACCGGCAATATCCAGACTGCCAAGGAACTAAAGCTGGTCATATCCCAAAATGTAGACCCGTGGAAAACCCAGGGCTTGGCATGGTCAAATGCGGGCTTGGACATTGAATGGCTATGAAGTAACAGAAAGATCAAGGCACCCTGCAAAACAACTGTTCAACTATTTCTACATGTTTCTTCACTGAAATCACTGACGATCACTCACGCCAGATTTGTGGTCTTGCGGCCCTCAGTTTCCCATGAAATATATATATATATATATATATGGTGTCTCAAATACACAAATCATGCTTGTTGCTGTAGGGAAAACCTAGTTTTCGATGGTTTGTGGGGTCCCTGGTGCAGCGAGGCTGAGGTATTGTAGGGTCTCCGACATACACAAACAGCCTCACTCCTCTTGTTTTGGCCAACCCATGTCACTGCTTGGTTCTCACTTCCGCCTCACCTGAAACTCCCTCGGATGCACGGCTGGTGACAAAGCAAAGGGTATCGTTGAGTAAGTTACCACATGCGCATCTGTCCATTGCACGTATTGGTTTGGTATGCCCCAGAGAGAAAAACACGACGGGAACCTTATTGAAGCAGCAATTCTGTTATAATTATACTATACAGTATGGGAAAAAACTCTATAGTTGCCTCCTTCCCATCTCACAGCTCGGCCTGCCGTCCAAAAATGGAAAATGCAAAGAACGGCACCAGCTTCACGTTCCTGGGAACCGATGAGAACTCGCAAGCCACAACTCTGCAGGTCTGCTCTTTTTTACAATCACTTCCGGTGTACCAAACGAAAGCTGTACCCAGGAAATTGAGTGCATGTTGGAGAAACAGCAGCTATATTCTTGCTTGAAGCATCTAAAAGATTATCCTGGCCCTGGTTTATGATGGGGCTCTTCGTCTAACAAGGAGTCCCCAACTTCCAAAGCATTACACCAAAGAAAAACATAGAAACGTCCATCCATCATCTGGAAATCTCTCGCGATGTCATGTCCCTCCTAGCTTCATGCTTTTTCTCCCAAGCCACAAATACAAAAGCAGCCCACTGCGCTGTGCTGTGGTGTACAGGAGCCCGAGGCTTTGTAGACCTGGGCAAGCAGCAGAAAAAGTTCTGTGAGACTCTTGTATAATCCATAGGGCTCCAACTACCTCCTGAGAAGGTGGTTGGGTGGGTTTGAGTGAATCTCACAGTGTTTTCAGAGCACGTAGAGGTTTATATGGAACCCCATCCAAAGAACATCTTGGGGTCTCTGTCTACTCTAAAACACTCACCAAAGCCCCGTCATCAAGAGGTGTTTAATCACACCTTAGAGGTTAAGGAGTGCCCCTGGCATGGATGCATCCATATACAATCCCATGTCACCCGCAGGGCGGCATGGCTCCCTTTTGTCTCAAACCGGCGCGGCAAAACCGTCCTCCTTGACAGACTCGCGGGCCCAAGCCAGAAGGTCCTGCAGCACGGAACGAAGGTCATGGGGGGAGCCACGGCGGCCATCAACGGATCCGGGGTTGAAAGGAAGCACAGCTTGGTGGCATTGATTCTAGTGCAGGGACCCATAAGAAGCATAGATGGATCGAACATCTGCATATTGTCTAATTGTTTAATATGCTGGATTGGGTGATGCTAGTGTTGATGTTGGTCTTTGGGGCCTATCCCAAATCAGAAGCACATCCTGATTGGTTTAAGCATGTTTGAGCTGGAGGCGCCCCAGACGAGAAAACCGCGGCCTGTGCCAGCCCGAGGCTTTACCTACAGGTCCGATCGAGAAAACCTGGTCCTGAAACCTTACCCTACAACTCCAGTCGTACCTCCTCAATGGTATTTGGACCCTCCTGGCACCCACCCCAGTCTCACCTTCTCAGAAGGTACTTGGACATTGGAGGCCTAGGGTTATTGAGTCACGTTTTATATCACCAACTCCAAAAAACATTGGCCTCTGAACTGTAGGCTGTGGTACAATTTGCCCACGATTTGCGGGGTGATGTTCAGATGGTTCTTGTTCGGGTCGAGGTATGGTAAATATTCAATATTCCTAGGGTCCAGGTACCTCCTTTTCGGATGGTCTTGGAGGTGAAAGTGCTTCCAGAGAATGGTCTTGGGGGTCAAAGGACATCCTCAGGATGGTCCTGGACCCTTAGGGAATATATTCATGGATGATCTGTGGCATGCCAACAGCCACTTCCGAAACACTTGTTAAGGTGTCTCAAGGATACCAACCACAAAATGGGACCGATACCCCATAAAACTTCAGCCCTAAGGGTCCAGGACCATCCGTTCCTCGGATGTCCTTTGACCCACGACAAATTCTGTCCTCCAAGACGATCCGAAAAGGAGGTACCTGGACCCTATGGACCCTGTGGGCAGGTCAAACGTACTCATTTTCCGTAGTACTTTGAGGTTTTCGTCCTGGTGCTGCACGCCACCCAGCAGAACGCTGCTCGAGAAGGGCTTCCCCCAGCGGAGCCGCAGCTGCTGGATGTACTGAGACATCGTGGAGCAAACCTCGCGGGTCGCCGTTTCACTCGCCGGTCCCCGCGCGACTCTTTCGGCGAGTTCTTGCCGGGGTGCCCCGGTGGGGTGCACCAGGCGGGAGGGGCTGGCCTCGTGGTGAGCGGACCACCCGCCCCGACGACGGTCGCTGTTTCGGTCGGGTTCGTCCCAGCGACGTTGCCGATGAAGTGCTCCGCCCAGGCGGCGATGATGGCGTCCACCAGCACCGAGCGCAAGGCTTCCGTGCCTCAGGGGCCCCCTGTGGTGACCGGCAGTGCTACCGTCTTTTTTAGTGGCGTGAGCCAAATGGGTACTGGTGCAGGGTGAAAAGGTGGTGAAGGGTGGTGTTTTTCGTGCCACATGGGGCTGGAAGACAGGCATGAAGAGGAGTGAGTTCTGGAAAAACGACTTGAGACAGGGGTGAAGCTAGGAAGAAGCACAACAAGATCAACAAGACACTTCTTGGAACTAACATGGAAGTGGAAAACCACCTGTTTGTAGTGGAAAATGGTCTTCCTTTCGGGGCCATTCTCCACGTAACCATGTTAGTTCCAGGGAGTGTATCTCTTTCGACATGTAGAAGCTCATCACTGTCATTCTTTTCCCACTGTCCTCAAAGAGCACAAAAGGTGGTACAGGTCTAATACCTGAGTTGTGATCGAATCGTGAATGGTTGCGCCTGGGTGAATGATTGCACCTATAGGTTGGGAATACTAATGTTACTACTGGCAGCATCTGGCAGCAACGTCAAACGTCAATTCCTCCAATCTCAGAAGGAATCGAACAGGACAAACAGAGTTTCCCCAGATTCAAGTGGCATATACATTCAAAATCATTCAAAGACAAGAAAATAACATCTCAAGTGAACATTGAACCTGGGGAAGCTTGGAGTTCATGTCTTCCAGGTCCAAAACCTGGGAAGGTTCAAGTGAACATTTCCAAACCTTACATTTCCAAACCTTACCCTACACCTCCAGTCGTACCTCCATACCTCCTCAGAAGGCATTTGGACCCTCCAAACCCACCCAAACACTCTCTGAGAAGACAGTTGGAGGCCTGGGGTTAGAGTTCACACACCATTTCCGCCAGTTCTTCCATGTTCTTCCCACCGACAGATCGACAGCCCAGCCACATTCTGGCACCGTCAGCGCTGCGTCGTAGTGTGCTGGGCGGTAGGGGTTGGCCCTGGGGCCAGGCAGGCCACCCATGTACCTGAGGAGTGTTCAGGTCGGGTGAATACTCTGCCTATGGGCTCAAAAAGCCAAACATCCTAAAACCCTACTCACTCGGTTTTACATGGTTTCACTATATGTTTGACTTGCTCCAACAGGTCACCGATAGGGTCAACTCCCCAACAACCCTGCACAGGCCCAGGAAACCAGGTAAAAGCACACACACACACGTACCTGGTTCATCCTGGTTCTTCAAAGTGACCTTTTGATAACCTGGTTGGTTCGGTCACTTAAGCCTCCCAAAGGGTCACTTAGGAACCTTCAAAAGGTCACTTTGAAGAAGCTGGTGCATTTCCCCAGGTACGGGGATTCACCTAGTTCGGGAAACTGAACATGACCCGATCCGAACAACGGAGCGTGGTTCTCGGAGCATTGTTCTCGGAGGGCGCACTGGGCGAGGAGGGCCTCATCGGCCTCGTTGCTCGCCACATAGGTGTGGCTGGGCCAAAAGCCCAAGAAGCTTCGGGCCAAGGTCCATGAAGCCTCAGTTGGATGAAGCTTCAGACCTGCAAGAAATGGGTTCAACCAAAAATGGATTAGCAAAGGATTGCTGGTTACTTTTTTGATGTAGTGCGGTCCGCAAAACATGGAGCACCAACACCTAGCACCCAAATCCGCATGTAAATCTCCCAACTGGACAACTCAAAAGATACGCTGGCTTCACTCTTTGAAGGCTTACGTATCATTTCTAGTGGCTCATTTCGAGGCCTGAAACGTCCCAAAAGCACATCGGCGGCGGCAACGCCCAGCGGCGATGAAAGAGAAGGTCTCGGGCTCTAAGTTGCACAGCGATTCCTGCCTCGGACAGCCCGACGTAGCCGCTGCTTTTGGGGGCGGCATGGGGAGGGTCCGATGCGAAAATCGGACCAACAAGTAAGTCTCGTTTGGGTCCTGGCCGAGCTCCTTTTGGGAGAAGGTGGGCTGGTTTGGAGGGGTCTGTGGCCACCTTCTAAGGATACGGGACAGCAGCCGCAGTGAATAACAATCCAAAGAACACACATGAGAAAAACATACAGGTTGTTAGTGGTTTCTCCAGCTTACAGGCGCATCCGAAATAGCGAATGGTACAACAATACAACACAAAGAATGCAAATAGTGCAATTGCAATCTTTTAGCATGACTTGCATGATCTTGACTTAAAGTACAAAGAACTTGAATTAGTAGACCATAGCAAACCAAACAAGTCAGCAACAAATTCACTAGTAAAAGGCCATCAACGTAAAATTTGGAATTTGCCGGCTCCATCGGCCAATCCTACCAGCTTGAGCTGTTCAACAGGACAGCGGGCATATCACTCAACGCACGATGCAAGGGCTTTTTTAAACCATCAACTTGTTTCTTCAAGTCGCATGGCTTGCAGCTCTGTCTGCAGGTAGCCCCCACTGGTCTTGGTGTTTGCCTTGCCGGACGGTGGATTCTAAATCTTAAACAAATGAGTTGTACTTGCATGCAATCTTAAAATTTGTCATATTCAGAAAGGAGCGCCTCTATAGATCTCACCTTAGACTTAGATGTTAAATAGGTGTCTATGAATCTATACCCAAACACTCCATGGGACTGCCATCGTGTTTTTGGTCGCCCCTTGGTTCAAGCGACTGGTTGGATCTGGTTGCCGTGTCAGGGTGGGTGGCCAAACAACGGGCCTAGAGTCAGAGCCACATTGAACGAACAACACGCCAAACACAGCCAAACACATGTTTTCCACGGATAGGTGTGAATTGTATGTGCACCGGCTTCGGAACCAGACCTTCGAGTGAACCAGCGGATGATCGATAAACGATCGATGACACTTGCCACGACGGTGGCTCAAGGACGACTCGAGTGGACTCGACTAGGTGGGCGGAAAAGACCGCGCGGCCGCGATTGGTAGGTTTTCCTTTTGGTAGGAGTTTGGTAGGATTAGGAGATCCTAGGAGCCTACAGTGGCCTCCTTAGCTAGGTTAGGAGAAAGCCATGGCAACGGAAGGTACTGGCTCCGCAAATGATGACCGAGGAGCAGGAATCTGGAATCTTTTGCCCTCCTTCGATCCATCGACGGACAATGCTAGAGAGTACATTGCAAAGGTGAGATTCTTGGACGGGATTTGCCCGAAGAAAGATCGACCCATGCTTGCACCTCGATTAGCAATGTTGTGCAAAGGAACAGCTTGGCACCAGGTGAGGGCCCTTTCACCTTCGCTGCTGACAGATCCGACAAATGGTGTGAAGCACTTTCTGGTGGCCCTTCAAACTTGGGAAGAAAGTGCTGAGTTGAAGACGTTTGAGCTTTTTGAAAGAGCCATCTACAAGACGATCCAAAAGGCCGATGAGACGACTCAGAGCTATGTCAATCGGCTGATGGTGGCTTTTGACGAGGTTGGACCTGACACGACATTGAAGTCAGTTATGGCCTTCGTGCTCCTCAAGCAGAGCAGTTTGAACCATGAAGACAAGAAGAAAGTTTTGACAATCACCAATGGTGTTTTAGAGAAGACTGCAATTGAAGGGGCCATGAGGTCATTGTCCACGAACGTTTTGACCGGACAAGGGAGTGTTGAGAAAAAGAAGGTGTACCCGACCAACTTCATCGAGACCGAGGAGAATGAGCCTTCAAGGGATTCAGGTTCGGGACAAGCCTATGTCCTACAACAGGAAGAAGATGAAGAGTTGACACAGGATGCCATTGACAGTTTAGCATCTTGGGGAGATGCTGATGCATTGGCTGTCCAAACCTTCGAAAAGGACTTGGAGGACCTATTTCAAGATGTCCCTGACCTTCATACAGCCCTGATTTCGTATCATGAAGCCAGAGCCCGAATTTCAGAACGAAAGCGAAACAGGGGATTCTGGCCTCCAGGCCAAAAGAGTTCAGGAAAGGGATACAAGTCATCTTTCAATGGTGCAGGAGGACGTGGCTTCCGCAAAGGGGGTTCCAAGGGCAAGGATGAACTCCTTCAGCGTATTGCCCGCACTCACTGCAAACGGTGTGGAGAATTGGGTCATTGGAAAGCAGAGTGCCCCAACAAGCCCAAAGATCAGGTGAACATCGTGACCCAGGAAGCCGATGAAGAGACTGATCAAGTGGTTTTTGAGACCTTGATGGAGGATGATCAGATGGAGGTTCGATTGGAAGAAAAGCATTCGAATATCCAGATGTCCTGCCAGTCATCCACACATGAACATGCATGTGCATTCGTAGGAATTCAAACAGCCAGTAATTCACTCGATCCAGATGGAAAGATAAAAATAAAGATGCAACAGTTTTTTGCAAACAGGTCAAAGTCTGTGCATTTTGCCAGGCATCACTTCGAGCCCAAGATTCTGCCCAATCCAGTCAGCACGTTTCCGAGCTGTACCAGTAAAGCAGGCCATGAAGCCTTTGATACGAAGGGATTTGCAATAGTTGACACTGGTGCAAGCAGAAGCGTCATTGGAAGTGAGAATCTTCCCCAGATGATGCAAATGCTGGATTCGACCACTCGTGCTCGTGTGAAGGAAAAATCCAGTTGCATAGGGTTCAGATTTGGAAACAATCAGATTGAATATAGTTTCAAGCAGATATGGATACCCATTTATAGTGATACTCAGCAGATATGGATAATCATAGAGGTTGTGCCGAAGTGTACTCCATTTTTGCTGTCCATTCAAACGATGCGTAAGCTAGGTGCAGTGCTTGATCTTCAAAAGGGTACTTGTTACTTGCAAACCCTCAATCGTGCCATCCCACTGAAGCAAGGAAACACAGGTTTGCTCATGATCAGTTTGGCCGATTTGTGCAAGAAATCATTCCTCCCAGCTTTTGTCGCATCAAAGTCTGTTGAGCATTCCGCGTCCGACCAGGGTGAAAGCCATGCCAACCAGGCAAGATGTCATGAGCATGATCAAGGACACCGCCGAAGCGGTGATGCAATTGCTCAAGATTCTCTTGACACTGCTGATGAATCAAGTCCAAACCCAGGTGGAAGAACAGGGAGAGCAGATGGTTCCGAGCGAGCATGCGCAACAGATCCAGAACCTGATGCAGGAGGTTCAGAGCCAGAAGACCATGTTACAGGAAATAGCCAAGAACCTTCGACCTTCAGCTCAAACACCCGCCTCTCCTGGCCATCGAGTCACAGAATGGATCGACATCGAGGAGAGGGAGATCCACATTTGGGAGGACGAAATGCAGATGTTGAACGAGAGAGCCAAAATGACATCATCCAACAGCCCAACCAGGCAAGTGGTCATTCCACAAATCCCTACGTCTCCGGTGCACAGAAAGCCCAGCCAAGCCGCACCGGCTGGAGCAAGTGGAGCCCGATCGCATCTGACAGAGACTCCATCACGCGTTGGCAACCTGGCCCATGCAGGAGTTGCAGTGACCGAACAGTTGGTGATGCAGGGAGAATTCAAGGCACCGAACGGACGAGACCTCGCCTGGACTCAAGATGCAATGAACGCATGGGGTCGCAAGTTGGTGAGCTGGGGCAAAAAGAACACAGGCCGTTCATACTGCGACACCTACGAGACCGACGAGGCCTATGTGGGCTGGTGTCTATCTCGTCTGAACTCACTGAACATGCCGATTCTAGATTTTGCCAAGTACGCTCAGGTACGAAGGCAAATGGAGGCACAGCTCCAACGGGGTCTCTGATAAATCTAGCCACCCAGGTCTCTAATGCCACTGAAGTGAAATGGTTGAGAGCCTTACGGGATGAGTTGAAAGAAAGCTTTCATGGATCAAGAATTGACCTTCTTGAAGTTTATGCACAACCCAATAGCCGACTTGCCGAAGAAGTTGTGAAACAAGGAGGGAAAGCTGAAAGATTTACCAGAGAACATGGAGATTTGTCAACTTTTGCCGGACAGTTGGAGCTCCTTCGAATGGTGACTCGACTACGTCCAAAGCATGTTTGGGCTGCTCCCGAATGTGCGCCGTGGTGTTCAAGGAATAGATTCAATGCCTTGAGAAGTACCCAAGCTTTCGATAGAATTGATCATGCACAGGAGCAATCCAGAGAACATTTGAAGTTATGTGCATTCATTTGCAAATTGCAGATAGAGGGTGGAAGGCATTTCACCATGGAGAATCCTGGCACATCGAGCATGTGGTTTCAACCGGAAGTGAAGGAGATCATTCAATTTTCGAAGACAGCCATGTTCGACCAATGCCAATTCGGATTAAAGCATCCCGATAGTAAGGACCCACTGAAGAAAGGAACTCGTTTGCAAACCACCTCGATTGAAGTATTGAAGACAATGGATGGCCGCACATGTGACAAGACTCATTCCCATCAACCCGTGGCAGGATCATGTCAATTCAAGGGCAAAACAATAGCAACTTCTCGGTTTGCAGCATTCTACCCAAGATTGTTCGCCAAGAGGGTAGCTAAAAGCATCCTAGATGAGATGCAGAAACCAGAGTTTCCCATTGTTGAAGCAGCCGCAATCATGGAAACCCTATGTCCTGTTAGAGAAGCCGAGACCAATCCTGAAGATGAGCCAGATTCGAAACGGAAGCGAGTCATGGGTCCAGTGGAAGATCCAAGGAATCGCAAGCGGGAACTTGAACAGTATGAACAATTCTCCGAATTGACCGGACAACCATGGATAGATGTCTTGGAAAGACTTCAAGTCCTTTTGCCAAAGTCCGGAGCACAGATCATTGATTTGGACACATGGCCAGGAAAGTTCATTCGCCAGCATTGCCAAATCGAAGATGTCCAAGAAATTAAGGCTATTAAAGGAGTTGAAAAATTCATGACTGGTAACCCAACATGTACACACCGTCAGACAATCAGCCTTTGTCGGAAAACACAGAAGATTATGGACTTAGGTGTTGAAGAATGGACCAAACTAACCATGGCCCAACAACGGAGAAAGGCCATACCAAGTCACATCATGATAGGAATCTTTGGCCGAAACTCACTAAACATGGATGAAACTCAGCCGAAGTCCGAGTCAGCCTATCAGCCAGTTCGAGCAGAAATGTCCGCCGAGCCGAAAGGAGAAGAAGAGAAAAGCTCTTCTTCAATTCGTAAGCATCCAGATGCCGAGCATGAAATGTCAGGTAAATCACCTGAAGCTGGGATGCCATCAGCCGAGAACCCAAGAGCACCCATCCAAGCATGGTCTCCTGCGACAACTGTGAACTCAGGACCTAAATTCTTGGAACTGAACAGCAAGCAACAGGCAATGATTCGAAAGATGCATAACAACTTAGGACATCCTGTAGCAGACAGACTTGCTGAACATTTACAACGACTTGGATTTACCCAAGGGATGGTAGAGGGGGCTCGGGACTACCACTGCCAGTCATGTGCTGAAAGGGTTCCTCCGAAGTTAACCACCCCAGGGAAGCTAAAGGAACCTAGAGAATTCAATGAAAGAATCTCCATGGATGGATTTGAATGGAAAGGGGAGAAGGGTCAGAAATATTATGTTCTTCACTTCTTCGATGAAGCAACTCATTTTCATCTAGGACGAAGATGTATCCGAAATGGAGAAAGCACAATCAAAACTTTCATTGAGACATGGACGCATTGGGCAGGTGCACCACTAGAAATTCAGCACGACGAAGCAGGTGAATTTGTCAGCCAAGCCTGGAAAGATCACTTGCAGCAAGAGGGGATTCGAGCAATTGTCAGCGCAGCACCATGGCAGAGAGGTCGCATTGAAAGGCATGGAGGAGTGATAAAGGAGATGTTGAGCAGGATAGACAAGGACAAGCCCATAGGTAATGAAAAGCAGTTCGACATGGCCTTAAACCAATGTTTCCAGGCAAAGAATAGTTTAACTATCACGAAAGGTTTTAGCCCAGAACAAGCTGTATTAGGTCGTTCTCGAAAACTGCCAGCCTCCATTTGTGGTGATGAGGACTTCACAGCTCATTCCCTCGATAATCCTGCAGATACTAGATCAGAAGATTTCCTTCAGAAACTGGAAGTGCGCACTCTAGCCAGAAAGGCATTGCTTGACGCAGACAACAGTCAGGCCATTCGTAGAGCCATCAATCATCAGTCAAGGGGTCAAGAGTACCCATGGAAATGTGGTGAATTATGTATGGTGTGGGATAAGAGGAAGTCACCTAACATGCTAGAGAAAGGCAGATGGACTGGACCTTGTCAAGTGATCATGGAAGAGAGTAGAACCATCTTATGGGTGACACACATGAACCGCCTCTTACGAGTAGCAAAGGAAAACATTCGACCTGTGTCAATTCGAGAATTCAATCAAGTCTCAACCTTTCATCAGAATTGTGATGAAAAGAGGCTACAAGAGATGGCTAATCAATTAAAGAACCAGCTTAAAGAAAGAAGTGGGATGTTTCAGTTCTCCGACCTCACTGAATTGGAAGTTGAAGGAGTCCCAGAAGCAGAAGTAGAGATAGGTCCTCAGCCTGAGGAAGAACCCATTCGTAGAGAATCAAATGCCTCTGCTCCCGCTAGTTTCGCTCCACCAAACACAGAAGACCATGATGGGACAAGCGAAGCTATTCCGCAAGATGCACCAGCAGCAGGGTCCACAGAGTCTGGGGAAAATGATGTTGGGGTGAATGAACATCCACCGGGGTTAGGGGAAAGCAGTCAAGAATTTGTGGGAAATTCTGTTGAACTGATTTACAATGCCAGCATTGTTGAAGCTAATGATCCTGAAGCCTTGACAGTGAAAGATAATGGAACACTGTGGCCACAAACAGAAGACATCTCAATTGCAGATGCAAATTTTTGCATGTTTGAATTTGAGGTTCCATGTCACGTCTTGTCCGCTTTTTGTGAAAGTCCATGTCTGCATGCCGATCGAATAGCTCAAGCCGCAAAGAAGAATCATGTGGAAATACAATATCGGAATCTCAATCAAGCCGAGAAAGCAGAATTCGATCAGGCCAAATCCAAAGAGTTGGGGTGTTGGGTTGAAACGTCATCTATTGAACCAATTCTCAAAGATAGAATCCACCCTTCCAGAATCATGTCTTCCAGATGGATCCTAACTTGGAAGTTGGACCCAACTCATCCTCAAGGAAGAAAAGCCAAAGCCAGGTTAGTTGTAAGAGGATTTGAGGATCCTGATGCAGCATCCGTGTGCACAGAGTCACCAACTTTGTCCCGAGATGGTCGAATGGTGATTCTCCAAGAAATCAGCAGCCGCAAGTGGACACTGCAGAGTTTCGACATTAAAACGGCCTTTTTAAGAGGACGTTCGGACCATCGAACTCTAGCCATGCAGCCTGTTCCAGAATTGCAGAAGTTGCTGAACCTTCAAGCAAACGAAGTTTGTTTGTTGAAAGGGAATGCGTATGGTAGAGTGGACGCCCCAATTCTGTTTTACAAAGAATTCCGAAAGACTTTAGAAGCTGAAGGGTTTGAAGCACATCCACTAGATGCATGTCTATTTGTTCTTCGGAATAAACAAGATCCCACCAAGCTTGAAGGAATACTAGGAACTCATGTTGACGATGGCATTGGAGGAGGAACCACTACTTTCGACAAAGCACTTGAACGCATTCAGAAGCATCTTCCTTTTGGACAAAGAGAATACAAGAAATTCCGGTTCACTGGATTGGATATGGAACAGAACCCGGACTATTCAATAAGAGTCAGCCAGAGTGAATACTTGCAAAAGATTGATCCAATTGATATTCCAAAGCCCAGACGCAAGGATGAACAATCATCCATAACCCCAGCCGAATTGCAGCAATTAAGAGCATTGTGTGGCAGTCTCCAATACGCAGCAGTCCATTCACGGCCAGATATTGCAGCAAAGGTAGCATTCTTACAAAAGAAGATCCCAAAGGCAATGGTGTCCGACTTGATGGAAGCAAACAAAGTACTTAGGGAAGCTAAAACCACATCCGAAACTTCTATCTTAGTACAACCTATTCCACTTCAGGAAGTGACATTTGCGAGCTTTGGAGATGCAAGTTTCGCGTCAGAAAATCAACTTCGTGCACAACAAGGACTTTTCATTATGGCAACCACTGAAAGATTAGGTAGAAACGAAGTATCATAATTTTCACCAATAGCTTGGGGTTCAAAACAAATTGCAAGAGTTGTGAGATCGACACTCAGTGCTGAAGCATATGCTATGTCAAGCTCATTAGATAAGCTGACCTGGATCCGTTGCATTTGGGCCTATGTAAATGATCCCCAGTTCCAATGGCAAAAACCAGAAAGAGCCTTGATGAATCAGCCCAAAGCATTGCTCATTACTGACTGTAAGTCATTATACGATCTTGTAACAAAGCTTGCTGTTCCCAACTGCCAAGAATGGAGGACCACCATTGAAGTAATGCAAATCAAAGAACAGGCAGAGGGCCATTCTCATTGTCGCTGGATCTCGACAGCCATCATGTTAGCCGATTGCTTAACCAAGCCAATGGACGCCAGTTTCCTTCGTAAGGTACTAGCAATAGGCCGATTTAGGATTTTCGATGAATCAAGCACTTTGAAAACAAATGCCAATAGAAAATTTGGTGAGCGATGGGCTGAAGAATTTCGTTATCAAGCAACCAATTTCACTCGAAAAGAAAGATAGAATGAATGTGAATTGTATGTGCACCGGCTTCGGAACCAGACCTTCGAGTGAACCAGCGGATGATCGATAAACGATCGATGACACTTGCCACGACGGTGGCTCAAGGACGACTCGAGTGGACTCGACTAGGTGGGCGGAAAAGACCGCGCGGCCGCGATTGGTAGGTTTTCCTTTTGGTAGGAGTTTGGTAGGATTAGGAGATCCTAGGAGCTACCAGTGTGATCTCCCTAACGGGAATCACAAATAGGTTGATAGGACTACAACAAAATACATCGGCGAAGCTTCCAAGATTTCAGCCTGGAGATTATCTGTGTCTATTGTGGAGCGCGAATCCATCCACGCAAGTCCAACCAAAACCATTCCAACATCGGGGCAGCCGGGCTTGGCTGTCGAAGCCTGGCTTGGGGGAGAACCACTCGAAATCTGTTGGGGGATTCAGCCAGGGAACCGGGAAGATTCACCCAGGAACCGGGAAACATACATACATGTCACCCTCACCCTCACCCTAAACGTAACACCCAAATCTCGCGGCCCAAGCTGTTTGATGTGTAGGCATATATAAGCAAAACCATGGAGAGATCCCCAACCAATGGGGTTCCCTCTGTTCGTTCTTTCGGGGGTTCTTCTTCTGGGAGGGGTCTCTGAAGGCCCCCTAAAAAAGGCAGGTGGGGATAGTCCCTACGGGTCCAGGACCATCCGAATGTCCTGCCAGACCCCCCGGCAACGACCATTCTCTGGAAGATCTGGTTTCGCACGAACTCACCTCCGGCAACGTGGATCCTATGATTCTGGGGAGTGACAGTGACAAGATCCAACAGTTGGGCCTTGAACAAGCGCAAGTGTACTCCAAGCACGCGGGACTGACCCAGGATGCCCGAGTGGTTGGCGACCTGGTCTTTCAAAGGAACATGCAAAAGGAGTCGCCCCCTGGGTTTGGGAGGCTCTATGGAAACGATGTTGTTTGAGGTTCAAGGATCTCTTACCCAGACACGACCAGTCTGGGACTGCCAGCATGGACTGCCGAGAAACGGCCAGGGGTGGTGGTGCCAGTCCTATGGCAGTCCCACAGAGCCTTTGGGTTATGTTGGCTTTGGGGGAAGGGTCAAGATTCTCAAAATTCCACCCGCTACTTAAGGTGTTTGGTGGATGATTGCTTGGTGTTTGGGTCAGCTGGAAGGGCAGGTTCCTACCTTCTGAGATCGATTGATGCTGCTAGGTTCGATGAGGATAGCTTCGACGGGTGCCAATGTTTGAGTATTTGCTTCGTCCACTAGAGGCAAAAGGATACTTTTTACATCTTTTTACTCAGCCGGTGAATTGTAAAGGTTCGCAAAGTACTTATGTAAATTTACAAGTAACATAGTGAAGGCGTTTCCCAACTTGAGGCCAAAGCTGCTGCCCTATTCATGTATGTGATCTTATGTGATGCTACTTTCATGCGAGGTCTCATTTTATCAAGGGGTATCTCCACACAAGCTGGTTGGAAGTAGAAGACCCTCCGACAAGCTACATTGATGTTTGAGGCCCTCATGGATGATGATCTATGTTTGCTAAACCTAAAATATACTGCGCCACAGTTCAACCAAAGGGTTGCAGGAGGGTTCCAGGGTGCATTCTGAATTTGAGATCTTTGCACAGCCTCACGAGTCGCTCATGCCGACCCAGCGGCCATCTGGGCCAATGCCATGGTCTCGTTACTGGGGAGGAAGCCTCACTTGGCGGAGCGAAAACTTACGCCAAATGCTCCAACACCTCCGTTGAAGGTGAAGCGCGAGAGAATGGCTTATCATGCTTATCTAAGGAGCCATTGTCCGTGTACATGATGTGTTGGAGAAAAGTATATGGATGATGATGTCCACGCCGGATTCTGTATGCGTCTGTCCTTTCAATGGCTATCTACATGGGCCCTTCAATCCCACCAACGATATACTGCACTTCTGTATTATATATATATACATATGATGCAGAATTGAGTCACATATGCATCACATATATGCCCTAGGGCTGACCCTCCCACAACAGTCCCACCTTCTCAGAAACAGAATCGGTACCTTCTCAGAAGGTACGACTGGAGGCTTAGGGTGAGTATATACTAACATAACACATAACACTCATGTTGCAATATATTGGGTCCTATGAGCTGGGCCCAGTGGATGATGGTTAAGTAGGAGCTGGGCCTGGTCCCAAAATCGTGATTTGCTTTTTGACTGACCTTTGCATCGTGCTGTCCCACCGTGCTGCTTGGAAAAAGTGCGAACGTCGTCGCAAGCAGTGTACATCCCAGAAGTCCAAAGACCAACAGAGGTTGAAGGACCCTATAGACTATCCCATAGGTACCTTAGTAGGGTCCTATAAGGTCACTTAACCTCTCATAGGACGACATGTTGCCCCATTGAAGTAAAGCCAAGTTCCTTCCGGGTCACCTTCAGGGTCACCATGCATCAAACAGTCTTGGACTCGTGACGAGGCCCACGAGGCCCACGAGTCACGGAGGGAGGGACCTCTTCAGGTCCAGACATATTTATTGCTGACCAGAGTATTCACCAGCCATGCATGTCAGAAGCTTTCGATGGCCTGGGCAGCTCAGCTGGCTTACTAGTCGCCCGGAAACCAAGTGCCGACGCTTTGACGATATACCGATGGACCTCTAGGGGGTGGATTGTCATAGGTTCCCAATCCTCAATCACTACTCAAACCGTTACACATGTACACACCAACAGAGGCCTGAAGGACCCGAACTAGACCATCCCAGTTTGGTACCCCAGTTAAGTCCTATTTACGGTCACTGGCTGCCTCTCTTGGCATGTCCTACCGCTTTGAAACCAGAACGTGACAAACGTACGTGTTCAGTTCCATGCGCCATCCGACGTGAGACTGCTAGCGCTGAACACATCCAGTTGGAGGTAGCTTCGATGCTTTGGGCCACTTCCCCACCTTCATGTAGACTCTTGAGGTACATGCCAACACCTCATACCTTCCCCACCCACCCCACCACCTTGAGAGAACATCAAACCCCTCATTACAAGTGGGGGGAAAACGTGGTACCTCAAGGTCGACGTCGCCCCATCCTCGCCCGCCAAGACGCACCGGGCCACATCGCTCATCGAGACATTCCGTGCAATCAGCCCGTGCGTGCGAAGGGTCTGTGCACTGGCCACTCCTCATCGGACCGCGATCTCGGTGAACGCCCGCGCGCGTAGAGAGTCGGACCGGGTGCGCTGAGAATGGGGCTGGGGCACCCACCCTGTGAAGCGAAGTAGAGAGTCAAGGGTCTGTGCTTCTCAGTTCTAAAGATTCAGGGCCTGTGCACGAAAATTGCAAGTGTGACACATCAAAAGAGAACTCAAACACTGCCTCTTTGGGCTAACGGGTTCAATGATATTCCAGATTCATGGCAGATTAATGGACATTCGATATAATGTGGTTGATAAGATATGTTGATACTCCAAGACAATGTGGTGATGACATGTCGAAGGAGGTCCTGGACCGGGGCATCCTTACTAGATCCTTACTGGGTATCTACCCAGTAAGAACCCACTTGACCTATATTATTGCTGTTTTCATGGGCAAAAAGCATCATCCTGGCCCAGCAGTTTTCATCTCTCGTCCATGCGAGCTTCCGCGTCACCCTGGCGTGGGGTTCCGCGCCTTCCTGCGATGGCTCCCAGGGACGCACCCGAATCCAGGAAGTCTTCTCCAATGTCCTGCAGCTATACATGCTCCAGATCCATAGGAATCCCCTTCCTCCACATGCCGAACCACGGACTTAACGCCTCCCCTCCCCATGCCGGAAGGCCCTCTTTCAGGAAGGGCGAGAGCATGTGACCCAAGCGTTCCTCCAGCTTGAGTTTCGTCTCGTTCTCCTGAGGACAAAAACATAGAACCCTATGGATCCACATACCTTCTCAGAAGGTGATTGGAGACTATTTATGCAGGCCTGGGGGACCCAATTACCTTCTGAGAAGGTATGTGGATCCATAGGGGAACGAACCACAAAGGCCCGGCCTGTCGAAACCCAAATCAAACACACGGCTGGTCGAATAAACCCCCTTCTTTCTGAACGGCGCTTGTTCTGTACGAACTTCTGGATTCGATCACATTCTGCAACCTTCTCTATAGACACTACTGACTCGGACCGAAACACCTCCAGCGGGCGGGATGGAACCCATTCTGTCCACATCTCTTCCCCTGCGGAGTGGGTGGCTTTGGGGAGGGGAGGCTGGAAATGATGCACCTGGATGCTCCAAAGTGCTTGAAAATTGGACATCCCTATAAAAACATACCCATGATCCGGGGTACTTTGAGGCTCCAGGTGGACTTCTTTTAAGACATGTTTGCCATTCTGGTGAGACTCTCCTAGTGAAGGGGGATGCGTTCGGTAGAACCCACTACCATGACTGACTCGTGAATGATGGATAGTACAACAAACAGTAACTGCAAGGATCTGAGACAAGCTTGAAAGCACTAGTCACAGGCACATGGCCCAACACCCTATGCACATGGCCCAAGAATCATCTCCGGATGCCTTCATTCATTCACATCTCCGGATGTGGGAGGTCTTCATTCCGGATGTGGGAGGTCTTCATTCATCAACAGTCAACATGACACGTTATAAGAAGATATCTCATGGGACTCATGGGCATGCCATCCATGTGGATCCCAGGGCTGCATACTCGCTATGCAACCCATAAATATGTCTCACCAATCACCCTCTCAAAAAATGGTAGTGGATCCCTGGGGTCGGTAGGAGTAGGCACTAGATGGTCTACTCCCCACTAAGTCCTGTAGTTTGGGTATTTATCCTGGTTAGGTTGCAAACCTTTCTCATCCTTTCTCAATAACAGACACGTTTTACCCACTCTTGCTGGTCTTGGTCTACTGCACCACACCGGGTACGACCGGGTACGACCACACCGGGTAGCGCCCAGCGGCCGAATGCTGCGGCTGGAAGCGATGAATGGTGCCCTGTACGTCGGACCACCGGAGCTCCGGGCGAGTGCCGTTGATCCAAGGCGCCTCCGAGCTCCGGTGGACGGTGGAACCGAAGAGCTCCGGTGGCGCCCCAAGGGTTAGGGATCCAGTGGTACCGAACCTCAGGTTTGGTACAACTGGACCCTCAAAAAACCCACATAAGAGTGTCGAACACATCAGCGTACCTGAGAAGGTACTTGGATCCCTAGGGAAGAAGAGTGCATCCCCGAAGAAGGCATCGCCCAAGAAGGTGAAGAAGAAGGTGTTCGCCCAAGAAGAGAGCATGGTGGAACTGAACGCCCGAGCCGGCTGGGTCCGAAAAAGAAGGTTGGGTCCGAACTGTCCATCTGTTACATCTTTATTGGACCACTCCCTTGATTAGGTGCATGGAACAAAGGCCACTGGACCTCCACTCGGCGCAAAGTGCAACAAGTACATCTTTAGTGGGGGGTCCCGAATCCCCCCCCCAAAAAAGTCATGGTTTTGCAGGGTATCTACGTACTTCCTGGGTAGGAAGAAGTGAAGGCACTGAGAGTGGAGGCATCCGAACTCGAAAAAGGTCACCACCAGGTAACCAGGTTTGAAGTCAAAAGCCAAAGGCGACCTGATGGAGGGTGCTGGTAGACATCTATGAGAGATGGAATCATCATGGAAGTGCAAAATGGCCGCTTGGAAGACTGTTTCCTCTATGAACAGGTTATTCTTCACTTCACTGATTGTTCTAGGGAATGATAGGGAATGTATATGAGATGTTAAAGTTTTATGTTTTATATCAGTGCCTGTGAATATGCCAGCTGCCAGCAGCTAGCAGCTAGGTGAAAGCACTGGTGGTAGATGAGGCATAACACTTACCCCTTTTTAAAACGATACGACACCAATGAATTCACATCCACCCACTGATGCAGCTGGCGTTGACCAAACACCTCTGTGCAAAATAACTGTCAACACAGTCTAGACGATTTGAGGTCAAACCCACTAATGCAAACCCTCTCTCTCTCTGTCTTTTGAGAGTCAGACTGCCTGCCGCTGCAGGCTGCAGCGTCGCGTCCGAAGAAGAAAGGCAGTTCACATCGATGTTACACGGGGCTTCAAGAGCGGCATACCCAGCAGGATGCACCCGAAGTCTGACCCCCTACTGAAAGTTTGCACATGATACAAAAATAGGGTCGTTTCCTATAATGCTCCTATCAAAACCCTGTCATCAACGTTTCAATATGTTTCAATGTTTGGAGAGATTTGGAGAACCGCAGTGGGACTGGGGTGTTGGGTGATTCTGATAAACTACATCCTGATGGACATGTCTGGGAGAAGCTCAGGGGAAGAGTCTTTCTGGCTCATCCTCTAATGTAGACTCTTGATTAGAAAAGTACTCATGCCGTATGCAGTGAAGAGATTGCTCAATCCAAATGGGGGATGTGTGATGAAGACCTTTTGCAGTGTTTTAGGAGCCTGGGACCTCTTACACAAACGGGAAGCCTGTGGGGCCCACAGTAGCGGTTGACAAAAACATACAAAACCTGACCCGAACCCAGCTGACCCGAATCCCACACGCCAAAAAGAACCCGTCCGCTCGTGGCCTTGGTCTTACTACGCATCCAAAGGGTTTGGAAGGGCACCGTGACGTGTTGATCCAAGACCTTCGCAGTGGTGTTTCAGACATCGCGTGGCAGCGGTGTTCACCGTCACCCGCTTGATATCTAAACACATCACCGGTGGGGATTGGAAGAGCGCGGTGGAACGGACGTCGGAGCTGGCGGAGGTGGTTGTCGCACCTGTGACTCGCTCCCGGGTGTGTAGGGTCGGGTGCGTCCCGCACTCGGAGGAACGGATGGTGGAAAGTGGAGGAAGCAACTCACCAAGGGACTTCCCCAAAGGATCCCAACATGGTCTTCCCAAGGGATCCCCCCCAAAAAGAGTACCACCAACGAATGAAAGATCCCAGACACGACAAATGGGACTGCCAGGACGGACTGCCGAGAAACGGCCAGGGTGGTGCCAGAGGGGTCTGGCTTGATCGGCATCTATGGCAGTCCCAGACAGGTCGTGTCTGGGAATTATTAAAAAAATCGGCACTGACTGGCACAGAGATTAGCACCACTTTCCACCTGAATCCACCTGATGTGTCCGTAGGGTTGGTTTTTCCGGTGTCCCCCCCCAGAATCGAACAGGTTTTGGGCAGATCCACTCACTCCTGGGTAGGTGGTCGGTGGTCGGGGGGTGAGGGGAGAGACTCCCGTGGTCGCTCTCCAGTCACCCGAAAGACCCTGCGATCAGCTCCTTTCTTGTCCCCTCCTGAGTAGCAGCTAGCTCTGGAGACCTAACTGCAATCAAATCTTTGTGTATATATTGACTGTATGGCTGCGTCTATTTGAGAGATGCCTGCTGGCATTCCTGAAAGAAGTCTTGGCAGCCCCAAGATATCATGTCCCCCTCCCAAAAGGCTTTTTCTCAAACAGTTCATCAGGGATCGCCAACCGAACAAATGGTACCCACCAACACTTTTGACATTTGAGAATCATGGAGGGGTCAGTTTGGTAGCATTCACTCTTTCCCTATGGATCCACATACCTTCTCAGAAGGTGATTGGAGACTATTTATGCAGGCTTGGGGGACCCAATTACCTTCTGAGAAGGTATGTGGATCCATAGGGTTTATTCATCTTTTAACCATGTTTAACCCACCGTTAGGCGGCAGGAAGGATGACGGCCAGTTCCGTGCCCCATCTCAGACCGACCCCCCGAAGGGTCTCTTCTTCTCGCCTTAGGTCCACAGAGCTGTACAAGCTCCTCGAGCTCCAGCACGCGGCCGTAGCAGCTGCGCAAGGCCTCCAAATCCTCCGAACCGGTCACAGCCGTGACCCCGACCCCCGAAACCAGGGGTGACGGGGCGGGGCCACGAAAGATCAACCCGTACTGTAAAACGAAGCCCCTTGCCAAGGATTCTTACAATTTCGAAGCTGCAAGTATACAATATAGTTAGAAGAAACAGGAGTAAATCAACTTAGGCACACTCAAACTGCACACACCACTTCACCTTCCTCCAAACAGTCTCCGACTATCTTGCAAATGGCCTAAGCAATGACTGGTCACTGCGGTGCATACAGTCCGTTTTGTAACCAACAAAGGTTGAAGGACCCGAACCTTCGACTATCCGGTCCCCCAGGTGTTCCGGGCCCTATTTACCGTCACCTTCCACCTGGTAAACGAGCTAATTCAATCCACCTTCGTCCTCCCCCCGCTCGGACGTTCGCCGTACTCGCCCCAGCGGCGAAGAGCTCATGAAAGGGCACCCATTCGAGACCGTCCTCGGAAGCGGTGCCAAAACGCGTTTGGGCCAAAACATCACTAACGAACCCGGACAAACTGGTCATCCAAACTTCACTTTGGCGCAAAATGCCCAAAGCATCCCGCTTTTCCAAGCTTCCAGGAACCACATCAGCGCCTTCACGGCTTCCATTGCATATCAAATTCTTTCCCTATACTTTACGCCACCTTCTCGCCCTTCCGGCCTTTACCATATGGTGCACACGCACTAAGAAGTCGCACCCGGACTCAAAAAGGGGGCACCAACTCCAGCCACCACTGGAGATGTTTCTTTGCGAGGATCGTAGGCATTGGGATGCGGAAACTTGAAGAAGCCGGGCAAGACCAGAATCCGTCCTAGAGCCGAGGCCATGTCCAAAGCAGTCTCCTCAGGAGGGAAGGGCGAAGGGCAGCTGATAGGGTAGTTGGTCTGACCGGTATGGACCGGTATGGATGCTTGAGGTTGGTCAGGGTCAACTTTGACATGAGGGGTTTCTAGAAGTGAAGGTGTACGCCGAGCTTTCCTGCATGTCAAGTGAGGTCCTCTCTTGCGGATTTGATTTGCAACGTGGACAGTGTCTATTAATAGGGATGCCCTCGCAACAGCATGAATCACCTGGAAGGTTGGCATAAGAGTGGTATCTTCAGTAAAACCGCAAGGATTGGATAGTTTCACCAAAGCTGCTAGCTTGAATACTGGAAAGAATGAATGAGTGCGGCATACCTTTTGTCATTCTATCCAGCACACATATGAAGATGTGGACCACTGGCCCTTGGATGCCCCAATCTCAGAAAGGCACAGAATGGGTTATGCTTGGACTGAAGGACTTCTACCACGGACCTGTCCAACCCTGGATTGTGCGAGCTTCGTATGAGAGCCGCTGATTGTGGAAGAGCCCGACCTCAGTTTCGCGGACCATCCACACCCTTGGCCCTTGGGATCAGGCAGGTGGCGACATGGAGAGGCTGCCACACCTCATGAGACAGAACACTCCCATGGATGTTGATTAAGTTTTAAGGCTCCAACTACCTCCATTTCGAAGGTGGTTGGTGCGGGTGCCAAAGGGGTCTAATCAGCTTCTAAAGGTTATGGTTGGAGCCTTTGGGCAATCAGGGCGCATAGCCCATAGCATCATGCCCTAGGTACTATACCCTTTTACCCATTGTGAAAAACCCTCCCAGTTCCAAAGAAAGAAAGCTGCAGGAAAACAATTCCTTGGTTGGAGGAGCGTTGACTGTTGCTTGCCAATTATTTTTCTGAACTCCCCTAGCACACCTCTATATGATATGGGGCAGCTACTGTATCAGTCAACATTTGTGCAATCACCCCAAGCCCCAAGCTGGGAAAGCATTCTGCCTCCCACAATGACATGATGATGATGATGATGATGATGATGATGATGATGTCCTTTCTTGCATTTCTGTTCTGGCTCGCTTGTGGGTATCCCCTCGATACATCAACCAACCAATAGTCAAAGACCATTTATGGAGCTGGGTGCCGGCTTCCAAGCTGCCCGCGGATCGTTCAGCAGAAAGCGCCCTGATCGGCATGTCTCCTCCGAAAGGACAAACTCGTAAGATAGCGCCACAGAAGAGGACACGGGCGTCCTGCGGATGACAGCAAAGAAGTCCAAACAAGTCCAATATATGCAGTTCAGCCTTGAAGTCGTCTCATCGAAATGGTCCCAACTGTTGACAGGAGTATCAGAATTCAACCTTGAAGTGTCTCATTTATGGAATTCCTTTCTACATAGTTCTACGCACTGTTCAGGAATATATCCCTAGGGCTCCAAGTGCCTCCTCAGAACCTATTTGGACCCTCTAAACTCTAAACCCACCCCAGTCCCACCTTCGAAGGCCCGACTGGAGCCCAAACGGGTATGGCCAGTCCCTGACCAACTCGAACCTCCGAACTACCGATCGCGGCGGCACGTCACAGAAAGTGGACCTTCTGAGTGGCCGGTGGTCGCCCCTGCCACAGCAGCAGCACCCACATCACCACCAAGCGCCCGGGGGGGGGTCAGAAACTGTATTTTTGTTTCATAGTTTTCACTGGCCAAGCATAGGTGCATACTCGAATCCTCCAGGGTGTTGTGCAACATGAAAACCAGGCAAATGCTTGGCTCAAGCTGTTGAATCTCTAAGGTGTGATCCGGAAAAAAAAAAGTATGAGGCCTTGGCAGTGGACTCACATAGTGCTTTTCCGTTTCAATGGGTGCTTGAACAAATGTTTCCGACACACATGTCGAGTTTTGGTCGGCCGATCTCGCCTGCGATATAAGAAGGAGGGCAAGTCATCTTCGTGCACAAGCCTTGCTGCAAAAAAGGATGCTTCGAAGGCATCTGGTATCCGTCACCCATGTGTGACAAGGGAGTTGCAGTCACAACATCTGGCAAATAATTTCAATTACCGTCCTGGCGCATGAACTTCAAACAGCCCATTTGCAAAGGGTGGCGCTGACTTTGCGCGTTCATTACAGTCTGTTTGACAATCGGTTCCCTGTGGATAACTTATGATAACTTCAAACAACACTTACGACAGCTCTGAGGTGCCCCGCATGAATCAGGCCATCCAAGACTTGGGTACTCCCATGTGGCTACTTTCTTATACAAACTCAGTACTCCTGACTCCTGACATGTCCATCACCAAAGAGCTGACTGAACTTTCCACGGTGCCAACTGCTGAATGGCGACGTCTCGCGCCACTCAGCGGACTAGTCCTGAATCCCTAGGCCCGTTTGGGCTCCAGTCGTACCTTCGTGAAACGGTTCGGTGGGACGGATGGGGTGGGGAGGGTCCAACTACCTTATGAGGAGGTACGACTGGAGCCTGAAAAAGGGAATATATGCCTCCCCCCCTCAACAAAAGAACCTCTCATCAAGCAATGAACAACTCTTGTTTGCACATCATCTGTTTGCATGCTTGCTTTCTTGATCCTCAAGATCAAGAAAGCCTTCCGCTTCCTGATCGAATCCATGACCCTGATCTGCCCCACCCATGTCTGGAACTGTCCCACCCCATGACACATCCCAAGCTGCTCGATGTGGTACGGTCTCACGGACTCTTCCGGCTCACCACCCGCACTGCTGTTGTAGAAGGCGATCCCCCGGCGGTCGGCCAAAAGCTCATCGCCTTTCAAGGCGATCTGAGCGCCCACCGGGAGGCCGAGGCCTTCCACCTCTTCCTGGTCAAATTCGGTTCGGGGCGCTCGGGCGGTCGGCACCAGCTCGTGAAATTTCGGCCGAGCCCCAAGTGTTCGGCTTTCTTGTTCAGCCCCAAGTCATCAACCCCAAGATCCATCGACTGCTTCACTGGAATCAGTGGATGGAGGCAGCTCAAACACCACTGGATCCTCCAGAGTCGTCTTAAACGACGGAGCCATGACACGACCATTGCTGTTGTTGACAAGCAAAAACATACCGACCGGTTGACCTACCGGACGAGACGGACTTAGGTGAGCACGAGACGCGGACTTAGGTGAGCACGGACTGGTGGACTGATCTGGTGAACATGGTGGGGTGAACCGACCCATCCACATATCTGATCACCTGTCTTTGATACAGCTCTTAGGTGAAACTCATTGATGATAAGCAGCAGCAGCAGCCGCAGCAGCAGCAGCATCAGCAGCAGCATCAGCATGCATCAGCAGCAGCATGTCTCAAGGGCGGGTTCCTATGATCAAACAGGCAGCCGACCTCCAGGACGTCCCAGCAGGGCGGCGTCCCAGCAGGACGTGCCAGAAGGGCATACTCCCTTTGTTCCTATTTGTTTCAGAACTTTCCACCTTTTTGCTTTGGGGACACCAAGCCTCCAAACAAGTTATATCAGTGACATCCACTGACTGCGGGTATGAGCTTGAGAATCAAGCACCACATCACGATGTTCCTGACAAACCGGTGCTCCATGAAACCCGAGACGAAAAGGATACAAACAAAAAGCATATCAAGTCTTAAAAAAGTTGGATCGTGTAGCTTTGGGGGCTTTGGGGGGTATGTCTTGAACAAAGCCAATACCTACACCATCCACACATTGTCCAATGGAGATCCTCAAGTAGTGTTTACATACATTGCGCTTTTCCAGAACACATGGACCACATGGCACTTGCGGCTGCCGTCAAGCATCTGCCGCCCTCCAAACGGTGGGCCGGCCAGCATAGGCAAGTGTGGCCAGCGACCACAGGCGCATGTGCGGCGCATCCGCAGAAGGGTGAGGCACATGACTCACAGTCTTGCAAATCTGTATGCCAACTTGTATATTCGCCGTAGCTTCTAAATTAGAAGCGATGAAAGTCGGGTCAAAAGTCAGTAATGATGGACTTTAACCAGCCCAGTCCCAAGTTTGCTCTACATTTGCCATGTGACATCTCTAGCAGCTAGACATCTTAACAGTTGTAGGTTGCTCATTTAATGCCATCTAATTAATGTGTATGCTTTACACATTCACACAAATACAGTAATATCAAATAAAGGCATCCGCTCTCGGAACGCCACTCAACTCTCCCTGGCTTAAGATCAAGATCCTCACGCACATGATGCCAGCGCCAAACAGCTGCATCCATTCGGCAAGAAACATCATGCATCGGCACGGGAAAACGACTTTCATAAGGTGCGTCCACGTAATTCCTGGTTGTCCAAGTCATTGTAGTGCTAGTTCCCGAGATGTTTGCAGGGTCCATGTAAAAGCCTGCTCCCAGGGCAACCGTTTCCCTGGAATATCAAGGGTATGTACAATAGGGGGCTGACAGTCAGAATTAATATAAAAAATTTCAATTTTAAATCAATGTCCCACATGTTCCCAAATCAATAACCCTGGGGATGACCCTAGCAAATAGAGTATGGGCAGTTGAGAAACCAGGGGGACATATTTTCCACCTGTCTGTTTTGAGTGGGGAATCACTTCCCCAAAAAGGTTAAAGGTTATTCAACTGACTGGGTAGGCTCCAGGTCACCCCAAAACCACAAGGAAGTGGTAGACCACTTCTGGGACCTTTCAGAACATGTTTCTGGCAACCTATATATCCATGTTTGGAGGGAAGGGCTTTTCCCTGGGCCCCAAACCATTAAGTCATGAAGCCACACTGACCTATCTCGTTCGTCAATCACCTGGTCCTCCCTGGCCGAGCGACAAAAGCCCACAAAGAGCCAAAGCCCCAGCTCTGCCCCCGCGCGCCACTCCAGGCGCGCGCGCACGCCGGGAGTGATGAGAGGCGGAAGGAAGGGGCAAAAGCAAAGGGCTGCCAAGGTGAAGCGAACCTTCAGCTGCAAAGGGACGACTGTATGTAAAGTAATATATTCAGTATATACAATATATATATATATATACAAATTACTACAAAATACCATATATGAATTCCATATATGAATTGTTAAAACACTTACATAGTCTAACTAATATAGACCACTTACATTGTTAACAATTGTATTGAAGCATTAACTTAAATAGAGTCTTACATAGTCTAACTAAGGGGCCTGGGAGGAACTCATAGTACCTCCTTCAGACGCTTGGCCCCCGAAACCAGGTCGCCGTGGCGGCCCACGGCTTCTCACCAGCGCCGGACGTCACGAGGTCGCCTTCGGCCCTGGCCCTTCCTCAAGAATTGTAGCTTCTTGTTACTACTAGTAAGGCACTTGTTACTACTAGCAAAGGAATCTACTATCACTCTCCTAATTCACGACCTGTCGACTTGGTCATTGAAAAGCAAGCAATGTATGGCACATGATTCCAAGTCCCATGGAGTGTATGGAGTGTATGGGTATGATGAAGAAAAGAAGAACCGCGATTGTCACAAGATAGGAACCTTTAAAGGGAAGTATTGCAATGTCGGACTTGGCGCCATCATGCTTCTGGAGCAGGACTCTGGGTACTTTCCATACGTCCAGATCCTTGCAGCTTGGGAACTGATTGGCTTGCTCCCAAAGAGGACCAGGTCAATCACCCCAATCACATTCAAAAGGACCCCATGCTGCAGTTTCTCAACATAAAACACTTTCCAGTGAGTAGGCAAGAATCCTACAGTACAGTCTATGGTCATGTTCTAGTCGACACCGTCTAGAGTCATCTTAATAAAAAAACAAAAAAAAACACACACAAGCTAAAGGCATCCAAACGAACATGCCCAGTTGTAAGCCTCCGCAGCACTTAGGTCCCTTGGCAAAAAACAGCTTGCTTGAATCAGTTTCTGGTGCATCCTCTTGAACTTGGCTGATCTCAAGGATTATCGAAAACAGAATCAGAAGCACCTTCCAAAGCCTAGGCCTCCCGTCGTACCTTCTGAGAAGGTGGGACTGGGGTGGGTTTGGAGGGTCCAAATACCTTCTGAGGCGGTACTTGGAGGTGTAGGGATTTGATGCGACAAGTTCAGCACCTTCCGTCGATTCTCTCCGAGAGGCCAAGTTCAGGCTTGCTGCTTGCCTCAACTGGATGCACCAACCATGATCACGCAAGCGGTGCGCAACCGGTTTCAGCCAATCAAAGGAATACAGGATACACCCAACCAACCCACCAATATTCAAAAAGCGAGAACCTATCAACTCAAACCAAAGCACACCACATCAACTCAATATCAATCAATTGACACAAAGGAAGTGGACTTATATCTTGCATTTCCCAAACGACTACAAAAGTTATGTTGTTTGGATTGGATGGAGCTCCAATCTCGAAACACAATCAGTATACTATAGTAGTCATATATGTTATATATCATGTAATTATAAGTTTCATTGATTCATGGGCTGATGCCACTGGTGCACGCCAGGTTTTTTCCACCGCAATCTCCACCGCTTCTGCTACCTCCTCTGGCTTAAGCCGTCCACCGTCGACTGGCTTAAGCCGTCCACCTAGAACCTCCTGGTGCCATCCCCAAAGTGCGTCTGCGCCCACTCGTCTTGAAGCGCGCTTGCCGCGCCCAGGCGCAAGCTGTCATTGGCTCCGGAGGCCAAGGTATACTTGATGATGGCATGCTGTGAGCCCCACAGAACCTCGGAATTTCGAGACGGACGTCTGCGACTTTTACGTCTGCCCAAGGTGGTCTTGGCTCTCACTGCTGAATGTTTCACACCTTATACCATTAATTCTGCTCCTTCATAATGGGGAATCAACAAACCATCCACACTACGGCCCTCGTGCCAAGTAAAGATGAACCCACAACGGATCCGAAATCCAACACACCACCGTTTAGTCGTGGAACATCTCGACGACAATGCCACGAATATTGACCAACCTACCCTTCAAAGACAATCAAAAGATAGGTTGACCTTGCTTTGCAGTCAACAAGTCATAGTAACTTGGTAGTCAAAAGTACATAGCAAAAAAACAAACGGATGCTTGGCAAAGACCTGCAAAAACCACGAAAACAATGGACGTTGGATTTCCGGGGAGGAAAGAACACATTTCTTTGGTGAAGGAATGTTTTTGGCATGATCGATTTCCGTGCCGAAAGCGCATGCCGGGCCGATTTCCCTGCTAGTCTTTCCTTCAAGTGGCAGTGACCAATCCCAGCACCAGCACAGCGACCGACTTGTCTAGGAAGGACTTCCGTCCGGGTAAGCTCCTCACACCAATCAGCTGATGTCGAACGGCGGTTTTGGTCGGTCCTGGGCTGCCAACCCCCCGGAAGTGTATCAAGCAAAACCACTCACAGTGTGGTAGTTGTCAGGTTCTATAGAGCAAAACCATGCACCACTGGGGGTTGCAACAATGGTAGATGCAACAATCAGTGTGCTTCAACTTGTGCTTCACCCCTCTGACAAGCTTTGTTCCATCATCTGGCATCGCTGGAAACTGTTTTCGCCAATCACTTCACACCGATCTTTAGGATTGCTCCGGCCGATCCTGGGAAGACCCGAGACGCGACGCGTCGAAACGGTCCGGGCTCCCTTGAGCTCTCCCGGCCTCTCGCTCTCGGTCAAGCTCCAGAACTCTGTGGTGACCTCGTCTGTGTCCTGGCGAGCTGAACGGAGCTCGGAGCAGTCTCGAGGAGCGCACCATAGGGTGGTGCAGTGGTGACCCATACGGCGCCAGAAAGCTTACAGCGCCTGAAGTGCACCCCGTCCTTTCGAGAAAGGGAACAACAGCTTCTTTCTTTCGCTCTGAAAGCCAACGAGAAGCAGCAGCAACAACAACAACGGGACACAAAATAGAAACAATGAAGAAGCAATGAGAAAATTGAGCCCTCAACAAATCATGCCAAAAAACACCAGAATTCATCGAGTCTTGGGATGTCTGGGGCCTTGCTGCCAAGCTTCAATCTGCGTCTCTGCAGTGGTCCGCCGCGAAGTCTCAGAGCCTTCCTCAACGAGCTGACGATGGAGCAAGAGGTGGAGGAGAATCCCTCACTCATCCATTCTAGACTATAGGTCACTCATCCTAGACTAGGTCACTTAGGGTCAGGCATATAATTACAAGTATTGTATGTCTTTGGAACCGCTCACTATCATTCGCTACTTGCTTCGGACGGTGGCAGCGTGGCAGGGACCACACGTGACAAAGCTTCTAACAAGGATTTCCAAAGGATGACCGGTGAAGCATGTTGAAGCGATGGGGAAGCGAGCGATGATGACCCATACCCAACACCTCCCAGCTTCGGTTTTTTTAAGGGTCGGTCCCTAATTAAGGATGTCGGCCATGAGGTCTAAAAAACCTCTCAATCCCAGGAGTCACAAAGGGGTGGTGTTTAGTCCCCTTACGTGAGTGGAGTAGCTGGGCACCCCTAACCTCCATCTCATGCTTGGCTGTCCAGGAGCCTGGAAACATATGTGCACAGATTCCCGGGAACGGGATTGACCCCTGGGCCTATAGACAGTCACCGTATACGCCAAATACCAGGAAACACATGTCATCTCAGGTGTTCACGCTCTCAGGCGTTCACTATCGGTCACCCTTCGGGTAGCAGTACTTGGACGTCCTGGACTTCACATGTGTGGCCCAGGCAATTGGGGCCGAAGTTGAGGCGATGATGCAACAGTGTTTTATGCTTTTTTGCGTGGGAACTGCTCCTTCAACGCCTCAAAGGATGTCCTTCATCATGTGGGAGCGGGAACAAAAGGGTCGGGAACCCAAGGCCCCAGATTGGCACACTGGCACAGACCAAAAAAGAGTGAAATTCAATGTATATAAAGTAACTATTTAGTTCCAAGGCTTGGCTGGTGGAGGGTTACAGGGAGATTACTTTCTCAATGTCTCAGTCTAGGTTGACCCATGTTGACCCCCTCATGAACAAGGGTTAAGA